AATACGTGGGCCTCTCACTGTCGTGGCCTCTCCCCTTGCCGGACGCGCAAGCTCAGCGGCCATGGCTCCGCGGCATGTGGGATCCTCCCGGACCGGGGCACGAACCCGTATACCCTGCATCGGCAGGCAGACTCTCAACCACTGCGCCACCAGGGAGGCCCTGCTTTGCTTCTTATACAGACCTTCAACTAGTCCTTTTGTCTCCAGCTCCATGGTCACTCCCACTTCCATACCACTGCTGGAGGAAGCTGGCTTCACCCGCTGCTGCGCTTTTTAGGGTTTGCTACTTGCCTCGACTTGTCAGCTTCCCCACCACATGCTTGGGATCCACACTTCTTGGTCTGCCAAGTCCGTTTCCAGCCACTTGTCCATGTGCTTTTCAGCTTCCAAAGCATAGTTGTTCTTCCTCTTCCATTCTCTTTGTCCTGGTGGGCTTTAGTGTTTTTTATTGTGATAAATTATATGTAACGTAAGATCTGCCATCTTAACCACTTTTAACTGTACAGCTCAGGGTATTAGTTACATTCGTATCACTGTGCAATCGCCGCCACCATCCACCTCCAGCACTTCATCTCCCAAAATGGGAAAGTCTGTACGGATCAAACAACTCTCCATGTCTCCCTCCCCGTAACCCATGGCACCCACCATTCTGTGTGAACTTGACTACTCTCTAGGGACCTCATACAATTATCTGTCTGATTCGTGCAGTATTTGTCTCTTTGGGTCTGCCTTATCTCACTCAGCATAATGTTTTCAGGATTCCTCTATGTTGTAGCCTGTGCCAGAAGTTCCTTCCCTATTAGGCTGAATAATTCCATTATGTGTACAGATGACATTTTATTTATCTATTCATCCATCAATGGACACCTGGGCTGCTTTCTACCTCTTGGCTATTGTGAATATGCTGCTATGAACATGGGTGTACAAATATCTGTTCATGTTCCTGCTTTCAATTATTTTGGGTATATACCCACAAGTGGAATTGCTGAGTCCTATGACAATTCTATTTTTAATCTTTTGAGAAACTGCCACTCTGTTTTCCATAGTTGCTGCAGCATTTTACATCTCCTTGTGAGGTTTCTTTTTCTGCCTTTAAAAAATTCCTTCACTGTTCTTTTATCGTGAGTTCAGGGTGGAATGCAAGTAAATGCACGTGATCGTCCTGCCATCTTCACCTGGAAGGCAGCGTCTTGCTACGAAGGCACATGTAGCCCTCAGGGTCTGCAGCCTTCCCGTGTGCTCTTTGTGGAGCATCCCTGCGATGCCTGTGCTGACAGCACGCTTAGGGAAGTCCAGGGCAGAAAAGCTGTGGAGTCACCTGGTGGTGGCTGGTACAAAGGTGTGACCACGTGCGAGCCGAGGCTAAGCCAGGGGGTGGGGTCATGTGAATTGGGGTTCACTGTGTGGTACCTTGTTCCCTCGGAGTGGTGACCACACAGCAGATGTCAAACACATGCTGGCAAATGAATCAAAAGCTTCTGAGGCCAAGGCAGGGAGTGTGGTTCAGGGTGAGGCCCCACACACGGGAGCCAGCTCAGCCCTGCCCCCGTTGGTGCTCCCAGGACGGACTGCATTTCCTTTTTCTAAGCACAGGCTAGGTTCTTCTGGGCTGATGGGGCCTGCCCTCCTGACTGGTAGTCAGCACCATGTTCTCGACAAGGGCCAGTGGGAGGGAGATCAAGGCCTCTCCCCTGGGCTCAGTGACGAGCAGGGCCTGGCAGAAAATGCCCACCCAGGAGTGGGTCTCAGGGCTGGAGACAGGGCTTTGGCTGGAGGGCAACCCTGTGCCACAGATGGAAGACCAGATCCCAGAGACACAGAACCCTGCTGGCGGGACCACACAGATGCAGCGTGGTCTGTGGGCAGAGACCACCAGGGCCTCAAAACCATGGCTGCCAGGCTGAAGCTCGGTTCTCTCAGTCTGGCTCCTATGGCACAGACACTAGGACGAAAGTGCACTAACCTCCGTGCAAAACCGCAACGTCCTGCTGATCCATGTCCAGCTCTCCATGGACGCCCCAGCCAGAGAGCGCACAGCCTGGAGCCTCTGGCCTCTGTCCACTGCTCACTCACCTTTCACTCAGCAAGCACTCCTGGGGCCCCCGAGGGCTGCGTGCTGAGCGGCGGACACACACTTCCAAACCTCCAGCTCACGGCAGGGACGTTTCAAGGCCTTTTTGGAAGAGGCTGAGGTGAACCATGAAGCCACTGGGGGCCCACCTGCTCCTGGGAAGGTCTGAGAAGACAGAGGCAGATCCAGGCTGCCCGCTTCATCCAGGGAGCCACCTGGGGAGACCCGTCTGCAGTGTTCGGTGATCCTGCTTCAAAAACTGCAAGCCTGAGCAAAAATTTCATGGCTTCCAAGATCTGCCCCTAAACGGCTGGTGTGCTGGATGGTGCCTATGCTTCACACACCTTCCCCGGGCCCCCCACTGCCCTCATCACTGTGTGCACAGGCCTCAGCCCCCCACACCTGGGCTGGGGCAAAGCCCTGGCTAGACCAGCATGGATGGCCACTCCCACTGAGCAATCTTTGGCATGGCAGACACTCACGAACACGGGGCGGCAGACGGCCTGCTGCACTGGCAGGTGCTGCCTGCAGCTCCACCCCCATGCTCACTCTGCCCAGCCCAAGGCGAGCACCGCCTGGCTGGCAGGACCGTGGCCCAGAGTCCTCCCCAAGGAAGGCCAAGCCGGGGCCCACACAGACCTGACGCATGGCCTTCAGGAACCCCAGGCAGATGCGGCTCTGCACTCGGCCCCAGGCAGCAGTCGGCAGGCTGCTGTCCACGGTGGTCCCAACCTCTGAACGCCTGAGGCGGCTCAGGCCAGCTCAGCTCACAGCACCTCAACAGCCCATGGCACAGACCCCTCAGACCCAGCGCTGGGCCAGGGCGCCCATGTCCCTCACCGCCCTCAGAAGCCCCCCTACGACGGCCACAAGGCATAGTGCGAGCCTGGCCAGGGCAAATGCTCTAAGTGCACACAGGCGCCCTCGTCGGGCAGGGTGACCGGGACGGTAGCCTCAGAACGGAGTGGGTGCCGGCTGGTGGAGACATGGGTGCGACGGGTCCTCAAGCAGACCCCCACCTGTCGGCCCGTGGCCAGGGAGGGACCCTGTGCCACAACTGCCTGTGGCTCTTCTCAGGGCCTCAGTGCTGAAAAGGGGCTGCCTGAGGACCCCGCATCCCAGTGGAGCCCAAGGGTGTGCCCCTCTGGGAGATGCTGTGTTTGTGTACCTGCTGCTGCCAGGCGCCACCCAGCGCAGACGGAAGCTCTAGCCGCAGCCTGTACTTGAGCTGGTGGCAGAGCCCAGGGGTCCTGTCTGGGTCTTACCTTTGGTGTCGTTGACGGGGTCCATGTGCCGGTAGATGTAGCCCTCCAGGTAGGAGTGGAACTTGGGTGTGGGCGGGAAGAAAGCCAGGCAGATGGCCATGAGCTCCCAGCCGCGGGCCAGGCTCTCGAGGCGGAAGTTCTCGGTGGTCTGCCGGCACAGCTGGATGTAGAGCTCGTCCCGCAGGCCCTGCGCGCTCCAGCCCTTGGTGGCGATCTCCAGGGCCACGTGCAGCGGGTCGGCCTTGGCGCGCCGGTCGCCCATGTACACCTGGATGAGCTTGAAGACCTCGCAGGCTTCCTTCTTCACGTGGCGGTCGCTGGTCACGATCATGGGCTTCTTGATGGACTCGCTGCTCCAGGCCAGCATGTTGGCGATGGACACCTTCCGCCGGAAGAGGCCCTGTGTGTGTTTGTTGAAGTGCTTGGAGGCCCAGTTCTCGATGTCAGTCTCCGAGGATGGCTTGCGAAGCGTGAAGGTGGGGAACACGCAGCTGGCGCTGGGCATCACGCTCCGGGTCTGCCGGCTGCTCTCGAACTGGGCGCAAGTGCCGAGGTCCTCAGACTGGGGAGGACAGGGGGGCTGTGAGGGGGTGGGGGCCCCACGTGACCCAGCCAGGCGAGAGGTGTGGCCCCCCTACCCCAAGCAGGCCCTGAAACTGCTGGAGGAGAGAGGCCTGGGCTGGGTGGGGTGGGGTGAGGCCGGGCCTGGGGTTCCAGCTCTGCACCTTGTACTGGTCTAACAGGGACCCAGAGAAGCCTTTACCCTGCAGGCTTGGCCTCCGGGAGGTGCCTGCCCTGGTCTGGAGACCAAGGTTTGGGGGTGGCCAGCATGGGTCTGGGGGCAGGAGGGAGCCGCGCGCGTGTCTTGTCAGCTTCTTGGGCTGCCGTAGCCCCAGGTGGGAGAGGGCCCGGGGACGCTGCATCCCCAGTGCTCACAGGGCTCTCCCCAGGCAGGGAGCTGGACCGTGCGTGGACGCAGGAAGGTGCTGCCTCCTACTGGCCTTGCTGTGGCTGTTTGGCTTCTGCCGGTTCAGATGGGAAGGTTAGCCCCACAAAGCAGCAGAAACCCCCAGATGCCACATTTGACAGAGAAACACAAATGTCTCTGGGCCACAACGGCTGCACCCTTTCCCCCAACAAAGATAGCGTTTGTAGTCTCGGGCATCGGGAAGAGCGATGCCATGCAGAGGGGCAGAGCCAGGCCTGAGAGGGCCGTGGGCTGCTGTGTTTGTGTACCTGCTGCTGCCAGGCGCCACCCAGCGCAGACGGAAGCTCTAGCCGCAGCCTGTACTTGAGCTGGTGGCAGAGCCCAGGGGTCCTGTCTGGGTCTTACCTTTGGTGTCGTTGACGGGGTCCATGTGCCGGTAGATGTAGCCCTCCAGGTAGGAGTGGAACTTGGGTGTGGGCGGGAAGAAAGCCAGGCAGATGGCCATGAGCTCCCAGCCGCGGGCCAGGCTCTCGAGGCGGAAGTTCTCGGTGGTCTGCCGGCACAGCTGGATGTAGAGCTCGTCCCGCAGGCCCTGCGCGCTCCAGCCCTTGGTGGCGATCTCCAGGGCCACGTGCAGCGGGTCGGCCTTGGCGCGCCGGTCGCCCATGTACACCTGGATGAGCTTGAAGACCTCGCAGGCTTCCTTCTTCACGTGGCGGTCGCTGGTCACGATCATGGGCTTCTTGATGGACTCGCTGCTCCAGGCCAGCATGTTGGCGATGGACACCTTCCGCCGGAAGAGGCCCTGTGTGTGTTTGTTGAAGTGCTTGGAGGCCCAGTTCTCGATGTCAGTCTCCGAGGATGGCTTGCGAAGCGTGAAGGTGGGGAACACGCAGCTGGCGCTGGGCATCACGCTCCGGGTCTGCCGGCTGCTCTCGAACTGGGCGCAAGTGCCGAGGTCCTCAGACTGGGGAGGACAGGGGGGCTGTGAGGGGGTGGGGGCCCCACGTGACCCAGCCAGGCGAGAGGTGTGGCCCCCCTACCCCAAGCAGGCCCTGAAACTGCTGGAGGAGAGAGGCCTGGGCTGGGTGGGGTGGGGTGAGGCCGGGCCTGGGGTTCCAGCTCTGCACCTTGTACTGGTCTAACAGGGACCCAGAGAAGCCTTTACCCTGCAGGCTTGGCCTCCGGGAGGTGCCTGCCCTGGTCTGGAGACCAAGGTTTGGGGGTGGCCAGCATGGGTCTGGGGGCAGGAGGGAGCCGCGCGCGTGTCTTGTCAGCTTCTTGGGCTGCCGTAGCCCCAGGTGGGAGAGGGCCCGGGGACGCTGCATCCCCAGTGCTCACAGGGCTCTCCCCAGGCAGGGAGCTGGACCGTGCGTGGACGCAGGAAGGTGCTGCCTCCTACTGGCCTTGCTGTGGCTGTTTGGCTTCTGCCGGTTCAGATGGGAAGGTTAGCCCCACAAAGCAGCAGAAACCCCCAGATGCCACATTTGACAGAGAAACACAAATGTCTCTGGGCCACAACGGCTGCACCCTTTCCCCCAACAAAGATAGCGTTTGTAGTCTCGGGCATCGGGAAGAGCGATGCCATGCAGAGGGGCAGAGCCAGGCCTGAGAGGGCCGTGGGCTGCGGCCCTCCACTCCCGTGATGCTGGGAAGGGAGAGCGTTGCCCCAAGCCGCACCCCCACCCCCACCCCCGCCACCAACAGCCTCCACGTACTTGCACTCAGATCACAGCCCCTCACCCAATACTCTTTAGGGGCTCCTGTCCCCTCTGTCTGGGAGGTGGGCTCTCGTCCCCAAACCCGTGCTGGCCTCCCCAACCCTTGGTCTTGAAAGCAGGGAAGGTACCTCCCTGGGCAGCGCCAGGAGTGGACCTCGGTCAGGCCCCTGGAGCCCATACGTCCTGCTGTCCAGGTCACATGCTGGGAGCTGGGTGCCCCAGGACGCAGCTGTTCACCCTCCACCTACCCCCTGCCCCCCCCACCCCCCCGCCTCTTCCCATCTGTCCTGATGTCCTCCTGTGTTACAAGCCACAGACAGAAACGCTGCTCTGAGCTCTCCAGTCTGGAGGAACACTAAGTGCCCCGGGGGATGCTGGCCACCTAAGATGCTGTAGTTCTTGGGCACGTCTTCCCCACCAGGACTGGGGGTGGACATGAGGATCCTGACCCCAGGAGGCCCTGTGGCCACTGCCAGCTCTGAGCAGAGGCCAGGGCACACCCTCAGCCTTGGCTTCAGGCAGCAGACTGGTGTGAAAGGTCAGGGACCAGGAGGTGAGAACGAGGATACTGGGCCACACCAAGCCCTGGGCACCATGCTCCTTGCACGCAACCGGGACAGAAGATGCACAAGGATCCCGAGGGCCTGGTGGATGCCCACACCCAGCACTGAGCAGCGAAGACTCCACAGGCTGGGCTTCTGCTCTGGCTCCAGCTGCAGTGTGGGGCTCTGGGAGCCACCTGGGGCTTTTGCTGAACGTGCCCTGGCCCCAGGCTCTGAGCCACCCAAGGAGCGCCTGGTGCTCTACCTGCACAGCTCCTCACCCGAGAGCCATTCACAGGCGGGAGAACAGAGGCTCAGGGCTCAGTGGGCAGGTGGCGGCCTCTGTGGCCTGGAATCAGGGCATGGCCTCTAGCCCTCTGGTGACCTGGCAGCACTGCGGGGCCTGGCCAGCAGCTGAGGTGAGAGACCCCCGTGCTGGCAGAGGTCTGGGGGGCATCTACCGTCTGTCCTCACTCACGCCTGCTGGGAACCGTGAAGCCACACCACCCCTGCCCGGGGACCCGGCCGCGGCCTGGCCCCTACCTGAGAGGGGTGGAGGTAGGGCTCCGGGGAGGCCAGGCTGGTCTGCACAGACACGCTCTTCTCGAGCAGGGCCTGGGGGAAGGCGAGCCGGTCCGAGGCGGCCCTCTGCCAGTGCCTTTTGCTCTCCTGCTGGGCCAGCGCCTCATCCTCGCTGAAGGCGCGCACCACAGGCCCAGGCATGGGCAGCGGCACGGCCCCGTCGCTCTCGTAGCCCGAGCCGTCCTGCTGTGAGTCCCAGCTGCCCCTCTGCTTCATGTGCAAGCGGGCCTGCTGTGCCTCCCAGGCCAGCCGGGCCTGAGCCAGGAAGGGCTCAGCCTCGCCCCGGGTCCCGTCCCCCTCACGCGCCTCGCCCTCTGCACGCCTCGTGGGCGCCAGGCTGGGGCCGCACGGGGGCCGCTCCTCGGTCAGGGGCTGCTGGCCGAGCGGGTCGTGGCCCCCAGGGCCCTCGGTGGGCGGGGCGCTGGGGGTGCGGCGCGCAGAGGGGTTCCTGCTCTTCCTCTTGCGTGTGCTGGGGGAGCAGCCCGTCGAGGACATGGTGTCCTGCTGGCTGGACCAGGACATGGCATCGTCCTGGGCCTGGGGCAGTGGCGCGGGCGGCTGGGCGGACCGCAGCTCGGGCCCCTCCATGCTGCTGTAGTCCCCGGACGTGACCCCCAGGCGCTGCTCGCGCAGCAGGCAGGGGCTGGGCTGCAGGGAGAGGGAGCCGCCGCCTGGGTGGGGCGAGTACTTGTGCCTCGGGCCCGCGCGCAGCTTGGGGCTGGAGCCGGCCTGCTCCACATACACCAGCTGGCGGACGTACTCCTTGCCAGCCGGGCTGTACTCCAGGCTCAGGTAGCGCTCGGGGCACTTCTGCCTGGTGAGCACCAGCTGCTGGTAGGGCGACGCGGAGGCCTGCTTGGGCGGCTTGCGGCTGGGAGACCGCCGAGGCGAGCCGGCCTGATAGCCCCCGCCGGCCTCAAACTGCACATCCATGGGGGGCTCGTCATAGATGGGGGCCTGGTACTCCACGGGGGGCTCTTCGTAGAGGGGGGGCTCGTAGGCGTAACGCGGGGAGGACGGCTGGGAGTCGGCGGCGGGTTTGCGGGGCTGGGCCAGCAGTGGGGAGCAGCTCCCCAGCTCAGCCCTCTTCAGGAAGGGTGACGGCCTCCGCTCTGAGAAGACAGGGCCGTCTGCGTCGGAGGTGAAGGTCTGTAGGCTGGGCGAGTGCTGTCCCCCGGAGGGTCTGCGGGAGCGACCCCTGGGCTGGCTGTCCAGGGGGTAGCCGTTGCCCTGGGGGGAGAGGAAGCTGGGCTCCCTGTCGGCAACTTTGATGAGCATGCGCTCCTTGGTGCCCGAGTTCCAGCGGAGCGAGGAGGTCCTGGTGGGG